TTTTGACGGTTTGTGAAGGAAGTCTCGGCGGAAGGCTTGCGAAAGCGCTCGCCCATCCCCGTCCTCGTTTGCGGTCTCCTCATCCTCGGTGTTGGGGGAGCGTGGTGCTGCTGCTCAGCGTTTCGTTAAGGACCAGAGGAAACGGCCTCAAGTTGTGCCAGGGGAGGTTTAGGTTGGATATTAGGAAAAATTTCGTCACCAAAAGGGTTGTCACGCATTGGAACAGGCTGCCCGAGGAAGCGGTTGAGTCACCATCCCTGGAGGTCTTTAAAAGATGTGTAGAGGTGGTGCAGAGGGAAGTGGTTTAATGGTGGACTTGGCAGTCTTAGGTTTGCGGTTGGACTTGATCTTAAAGGTCTTTTCCAACCTAAGCAATTCTATGATTCTAATGGGCACCCAAATGGATGAGGTGTCCTCTGTCCAAGTATTTTCTGATAGTGGAAACAGCAGTAACGTGGTATTAAAAACAGCCTGTATCATGTAATGTGAGCGATCCTCATGAGAGGACCTTGGTACCTACCAGACGCGAGCGATGGGTAAGAAACCAGGTCTGGTTAGTGGCCGTGTCCCGCTGCACCTGTGGCGTCACTGACTACACCTCCTTGTCCCCCTGCACCTCTGTTGGCCTCTGTTTCTTCATTGGCAGAGACACATGTCGTTTTGGGAGTTGTTCAGCAGCTGGGCACGAGGTTATGCTGTACCTCCTTAAGCCATACAAGGCAAAGCAAACCTGAGATTTTCAATCACCATCTTTTAGGCTTCTACAAACTTTCTGATTAAATATATATGTTGCTTTAACCCACGAATAGCTCAAAATTAATGAAGACAGTTTTTCTCCATTTTACTTCATAAAGAAATAACCCTGCGTCTGATATGCAAACTGAAAAAGTCCCAGTTCTGACTAGAAACTCCAAACAGGCTAAATTCACTGTGTGTCTTTGTATGAGTTTATCTTGTGAATGAGTATTACATGTGGCACCATTATTTGTGTTTCTTGATTCCAGTTCCAAACTTCACTTTTTGAAGGACAGAACATCTACGTTGAAGCAGAGTCTGGAGTGAAAATCAGAAGGACAATCAAAATTTTAATGATGTTCTGCCCTGATCAGTTCTGCCACAATAGTTCTGTGCCTTTCGGCATGCCTCCATCTGCTTTATACCCCTGACACTACCTTCCCATTACTCACTCAGCTTTTTCCTATCCAAACAAAAAAGGTCTCCTAAACTCTAATTTGTATTTTGTTGTTGTTGTTTCCCTTGCTCCAGCACACATTTTTTTTCTTAAGGCTGTTTTACCTGTGAGCCTTTCTATTTTTTGTTAACTGCTTTTTCAGCGTTATCTTTAGTAAAACCTCTAATTTCCTGCCATCTTTGCAGAAGTTTCCCCGATCTCTGTTGTTCTTTCCTGCCTATCAGATGAATTTGGTGGCTCTCATAGTCTCTCAGCACTTCCTGAAGACCCTGAAATTTAGCTGCACTTTTTTTTCTCTTTACATTTCCTTCTCCCTGTTTCTGATCATTCCTTACCTCTCAACATCTTTAAACTGTAAATACAGCAAAAAGTGAGATCTTCAGCTTTCTCGCCAGCCTTTCTCATTGTCTCCAGGTATAATGCTGTCACTTGGTCATCCAGTGAATCTTCTGTCTGGCCTAGGTACAGGAGGGATGAAGCAACCTTCAAGTCACTGGCTCCATTGAATGAGGGAGAGAGAGTGGTGAGGGGAAAAAAGCTTAAGTGAGCAATAGCAGGAGGGCAAAGAGTTCAGCAGCTC